CATTGTTCATTTTGCATGCCAATGGGTCATTTCGATCGCGCGGACCGCATCCCGAATGGAAGACTTGAGGGTCGCATTTCCTAACACTTACATATCACGCGCGTGGTTATGTCTTGCTTCGGAATTACTGTTGAACATATTCTATCCTAAGTGACAAATCAGAGAATGGTATTTTAGAAAATGCTTTAAGCAATCTGATACTAAGAGCCGTGAGAAAATATTGGCAAAGCGGAAAGCAATTTAGGAAGTTGAATTTAGCGAACACGCCTTGCGACCTTCAATTTCTATTGGGACCTTGGTTCACGTTGAGGTAAAATTTGCTCTTTTTAATTTCGTGGACGGTATCCTGGTTGGAAAAAATTGAACGTTGCTCCTCTTAACAGTAACAAACTACGCCTACCGTTTTGGCTAGGATTTGAACTTTAGGCTAAGAGCGCCTGAGCTGTGGTGGAAATTAAACCTAGTAGTTTACGGCTTACGCCCTGAACACTGTGCTACTGAGATCTGCAAGCAGCGCTTGGTACAGCATAAAGGAACACAACGTTGAAATTAGCGAGCACGCTCTAAGGTTGTGTTTCGACTCGCAACCTCTATTGATATGTTGGTTTAATTTAAGATAAACCTTGGTCCTTTTGATTGCAGGAAAGTTTCTGGAATGAACAAACTTGGTTGTTGCTTATCCCAACACTGTCAAACCTTGACGGCGGTATCGTTCTGGATTGTACCCCTCAGGTTGTGATAGTCATAGATGGTGCGGCAACAGGTCCTACTAGTTAACGCCTGACGCTTAGAAAGCACTGCTATTGAGATCTGCCAGAAACGATTAGCAGAGCAAGAAGCACTCAACGTGGAATTCAGCAAACACGCTGTGTAGTGGGTTTGCGACACACTACCTCTATTGCTTCATCGGTTCACTTTAGGTAATCCGCCATCAGTTCGATTGCCAGACGGTATCCAAAGTAAAAGTATTTGAGGGTTGAATGTCCTAAAACCGGCAAACAAGCACCGCCGTTTCTTTTTGGTTTGGGCTCCTCAGTTGAAGATAGCCTAAGCTGGGTTGGAAAATAGATCCCAGTAGTTCACGGCTGACGACCTGAACACTATGCAACTGAGATTCGCGAGCAACGCGTGGCAAAGCGGAAAGCAATTCAGAAATTTAAATGCAAAGAACACGTCGTGTTAATGTTTTGCAACTCGCAAGCTCTATTGGGACATAAGTTTACTTATAGGTAAACCTTAGTCTTTTTGATTGCAAGGCCGTTGACAGAATAGAAATATCTGGTTGTTGTTCTTCCTAACACATGCAAACCGCGACCGCGTTTTAATCACGGCTTGGACACACAAGATGGAGAAAAGTTAAGCTACGTGAAAGTAAGAGCTTAGTAGTTCAACTTTGACGCCTTAAACACTATGCTGCTGAGACATGGGAGCAACGCTTGGCATAGCAGCATGCAATTCATAGATAAATTTAGCATAAAGAGTGCGTGATTGTTATGCGACTCGCAACCTCTATTGAGACCTTGATTCACTTTCAGGTAAACGTAGATCATTTCGATCAACATGACGGTATCCAGAATGCAAAGGTGTAAGTAGATCCTCCTAAGACTGGGACACCATGAACGTGGTTTCGTCCTGGCTTGAACTGATCACGTGGAGATGGGCTGAGCTATGTTGTAACTCAGAGAATGGTAGTTCACGGCTGACGTATGGAACATTATGCTAAAGCGAGCCGCGAGAATTTCCTAAAACAGTAAAAAACATTTCAAAGTTAACTGTAGCTAACAAGCATAATAGATGGTTTTTCGAATGGAAACCACTATTGAGATATTGGTTTACATAAAGTTAAGTCTCGCTCATTCGGATTCAAATGACCGTATCCGGGAAGAAACATTTTGGGTGTTGCTACTCTCTACGTTGGAACAACACGACCGCAGTTTCGCAAAGTGAACGTAAAGTGGATGTGAACGCAGGCAGTCAACCAACCGTCCCTTTAATATTGTGAGTGTTGGATTCAGGGAGAGCATTTCACGAGGAACATCTATGAATGAAAGAGCAAATCCTGCGGCCATGCATATGTCTATAGTGTAGTGCGATATTCGATGAGTTACGTTTTAGTTTGTATTAATGCTGAGCTGCGGTGAGGAGTCGGCACAATCATGTGGATCCTGCCGAACCCAGAGGCAATTATCTGTTACCTCATAAACTACAGTACTGTCTGGTAAATACCCGAATCGTCTCCACCTCTACTAGTATGGAAGATGGTGCATTCCACTGGCGTGTTTGAATGCATTGCGTCTAGGCTGCTTCGGTGCAGTGTGAATTGCTCTACCCATGAATACAAAGCTCTAGTTGCGCATTTGAGAGAGGGGCGAACCAGTTCACTGAGTGCCCTTTGGATAATGGAGATCTGTTTTTCGAAAGACCCATCACAACAAATCGCTGTATTGGTTACCATGTTTCAATGTCTGTACGATTTGCTTAACCAACCCAGATCATCCTAAAACAACGCATCCAGTTCATCTTTGATGAAAGAATGCTGATGCACATGTG